GTGTGTGTGTGTGTGTGTATATTGTAGTGATTTTCCTTGTCTTTTCAAGCAGTTACTTAGGCTGATATGGCCTAATCTCCTCTTCTCTAATTTATTTACCACCCCTCCAAGAAGTATTGAATTTAATGAAAATTATATATTATAATATCATTATTACTCGGGCAAAGCATACTTTTATACTTAATTTTATTTGGTTACAGAGCCATAAACAAGAAAATCAGACCCCTCTTGCCAGACCCACCTGTCACATCTTTTCTCTTTCACAAATTGCCAGTAGCTCTCTCTGATGTTTAATACTATATTATTTCTAACCAATGGAAAGCCAAAGTTTTAATCTATCAAATGACATATTATATTACATTTTTTTTAATTTAGAGAATTGTCTATTTCTCTTCCAGTTCAAATGTTATTCCTACAGAAAACGCATCGAGAACTTTAGCTGAATTTTCAAAAGCTTTTATCGCATATTTATAAAGCCAGAAAAATTATGATAGTTATAAGACATTGTCTGCTTTTCATGTGTTATTATTCTGTGTTTTTGGTGCAGTATTTAATTAAATAAAAAAATTTAGTTATGGTAGTACCATTAATATAATAAAAGAAAAATAAAAGTAGGCTTAAGTTTCATCAACAGTCTACAGCAAAGAAAAAGAAGACCCAGGTAAGTACTATATTTCTTGTTTTTCATATGTAAAAATTAGAAACTTGTTAGATTAGGTAAGATAAAGAATGATAATAATAATCATTCATGGGTATGCTCACAAGTAGCTTGTAAGTTATGTAGTTTAATAGGGTAATGTGAGCTATACATTCACTGAGTGATTTACAACTTGTGTGGCAGGATTATTAGTTAGACATGGTTCAAAATGCAATAAAACAATAAAATTAAGTATAAATAGATGTATACTGTTACAAGTTTTAAGCTACTTAGGATAAACAATTGTTGTTTCCTGTTACAATTTGTAATCTTTCCAGAAAGAAAAAAAGGATAATTGAAAATTACTTCGTAATTTTTTATGGTGGTTATGAGGTTGGTCAAACCAACTGACTCTGTATAGAGTCATAGTATAGAAAATACAAATAAAAATATAAAACTTTTCTGGAAAAAATATTTATTTTGGGGGTTTTGGGGATTATACAAATAAATTTTCAGATGACAAAAAGTATTTTTAATGTTAACATGAAAAGCACTTTTCACTTGAAGTAATCAACACTCCTACACCACATGATTAGACCAGTTTTAGTAAAAACACTCAATTAAAAAGTCTGATTTTTTTGTATACAAAAGACTTGATGCTTACTAAAAGCCTGCCAAATTTCATGAAGATACATTAAGTACTTTCATAGTCATAGTGCGTATACTACCATGGTTACAAGTTCATGTAAAATACACAAGCCTGTTGCAATAGGGCTAATAGACTGTCTAATCAAAATTAATGTTTTTAGGTTGGAAATTATTTTTTATTCATGTACACACATACATCCAGTTTTTATATTAATTAGTATGCTGACAGATTTGTAGGTCTTTTTTTCATTTCATTAGCTCTGGCTCCACACCATAGCACGTTAAATCTTGCATCTCCAACCCACAACCTTGGAGGACTGGCACCATCTTCAGCTTATTTCATGGGCCAGAAGTATCAAGAGAATGGAGATACTCTCTCAGACTTTGTGAACTTAGTGTGTCAGGAAACCCAGAGCAGCAGTGGACCATCTCCACAAGTAAGTATGCATGCTCAAACAATGTATGTGAAAATCCAAAACAATAGTAGCCAATCCCTATGGGTAAATGCTTACCTATAACACACCTGTATAAGGAAATCCAGAGCAACAGTAGCTCACCCCTGGGAGTAAATGCTTATCTATAACACATCTGTATAAGGAAATCCAGAGCAACAGTAGCTCATCCCTGGAAGTAAATGCTTGCCTATAACACATCTGTATAAGGAAATCCAGAGCAACAGTAGCTCATCCCTGTGAGTAAATGCTTACTTATAATATATCTTTGTAAGGAAACCCACAGCAACAGTAACTCATCCTTAAGGGTAAATATTTACCTGTAATATATCTGTGTAAGAAAACCCTGGGCAATAGTAGCTCATCTTTAGGAGTAAACACTTGCCTATAATACATCTGTGTAAGAAAACCTAGGACAACAGTAGCTAATCTTTAGGAGTAAATACTTACCTATAATACATCTGTGTAAGGAAACCCAGAGCAACAGTAGCTCATCTTTAGGAGTAAATACTTACCTATAATACATCTGTGTAAGGAAACCCAGAGCAACAGTAGCTCATCTTTAGGAGTAAATACTTACCTATAATATATCTGTGTAGAAAATGCAGAGCAACAGTAGCTTATCCGTAGAGTTAAATACTTACCTATAATTCATTTGTGTAAGGAAACCCAGAGTAATTGTAGCTCATCCCTAGGGGTAAATAGACATGAGAATTTTGTGACAGTTAGTGGAATTCAACCTTTATGTTCATCCTCTGGAGGGTTTCATAATTCATGTGAAATTGAGGTGAAAAAATCAAGAGTGGATGTGTAATAATGTAAATCACAGCTGCTAAGTGATAAGTAGAATATGTGGAACAAATCTGAATGATGTTATTTCCATCTTCCTGGTGTACTATGTTTATGGTTGGCCAAATGTCAGAATATACAACCAACAACAAATGAGTTTAGGTTAAGATAGTTCAGTATCAGTAAAAAATTGGATTGTCTGCCTTATGTGACAGTATCCAACCCTAGACATTTTTTACACTGCAATTGGATGTTTACACTGTTTCAGTAATAGTAGAATAGTTTACATTTGAGATGATAACAGTAGTCTATTCCCATAAGATAAACATTTATCACACAAACAAATCTGTGTAAAGAATACAGAATATAATTACTATGACCTTCTTAAGTAAATGTTTACCTAAAAAACAAATCTATTTAAAGGACACAGAACAGCATTGCTGTGACCTTCTTAACTAAATGTTTGCATAACAAACAAATCTTTGTAGAGAACACAGAACAGCTTTGCTGTGGCTTTCTTAACTCTCTCAATATAGGATCAGTCAATTGGACTGACCACGTGACCTCTTTGTACTGATTTAAACTCTTTATAGATTTGATACTACTAACTTTTAATATAGTGTGTATATCTTCACAAAATTTGGCAGTCTTTCAGTAAAAATTAAAAGTCTTTCACGTACAAAAAAAATCAAATTTTTTAGTGAAGTATTTTTAATAAACTAAAAATAGATTTGTCTGTGAATATATCAAGTATTTGTTTTGAATAGTCCATGTCCAAAGTAATTTTCATGTTAAGATTAAAAATACTTTTCTTCATCTCAAATTTCATTTGTGTACTCTCTAAAACCTCCTAAATACATTTCAAATGTTTTTCAGGAAAAACTTTATATTTTATCTGTTATTTTCTCTACTGTAACTCTATACAAGGTTGGTCAATTTGACCAACCTTGTAACCACCAAAAAAAGAAAAAAAATCAAAATAAATCTTAATTACCCTCTTTTTCTTTCTAGAATGACTTCAAATGTAACATGAAACTACATTCATTTATCCTTAGTAGCTTTAAACTCGTAACATTATACATCTATTAAAATTATATTTTATTGTTTTATTGCTCTTTGAACCATATCTAACTACTATTCCCGTCATTATAAGTTGTAAATCGTCTGGGGAATGTGCAGCTCATGTTACGCTATCAAATTTAAAATTACCCATGAACTGCTCTGAGCTCCTTGCTTGCATGCCTCGTGAAATATTTATATTATTTTATTTTTATTATTGTTTTACCCAATCTAACCTTAACTAACCTAAAGAGATCCTTATTTTTACATTTTAGTTACTTTTATAATAATGAAGAAACATGAAAAACAAGAAATATGGTACTTACCCCTATCTCCTTTTTTTTTTGCTGTTGTCTGTCGATGACTCTTAGCCCTACTTTTTTTATACTAATGGTAGTAATGCACAAAATTGTTATTTAATTAAATAATACACCAAGAACATAGAATAATAACATGTAAAAAGCAGACAATTTTTTCTAACTATCGCACTTTTCTGGCTTTCTAACTATGCGACAAGAGTTGTTACAAATTCATCCAAGCTAGTCATTATCTTTCCCATGAGAATGAACCTCAAAAGAGAAATTGACAATTCTCTGTTCAGAACACAATGTAATATAATATGTCATTTGATAGATGAAAACCTTGGCTTTCTATTGGTTATAGATAATACAGAATTAAACGTATGAGAGAACTATTAAAAAAATCCTGAAAGAGAGGATGTGACAGATAGGTTTGGCAAGAGGGGTCTGATTTTCTATTTGATGGCTCTGTAACCAAACAAAATTGAAAGCTATAGAAATTATGGTTGGTCTGAGCAATGGCAATTTTATAATGAGTAATTTACGTTGAATTTCGTACTTAATGGAGGGATGGTTAATAAAAAGGAGAAGATCGGATACCTACATAACATTTCACCTTTCTCATACTAGGGGAAATTCAAGTATTTTTTTTAAATATTACCTTATAAAATTAGAACTTATATACTATTAAGATATGGATTATTAGCTGTGATTTTATGATATACTAATTGGTATAACAAACGAAAAGTAGTCTAATAAAATTTTGAATGTAATCCACTAAAACCTTGTGAGGTGCAGTAAATGATACCCGGGTAGATAGGGTTAAGTAAATGTTTACCTAACAAACAAATCTGTGTAAAAAAATCAGAACAGTATTGCTGTGACATTCTTAAGTAAATGTTTACCTAACAAGTACATCCAATCCGTGTAAAGAACCAGAGGAGTATTGCTGTGTCATGGAGTAAATGAGTAGGCTATCTCTACAGGTAAATGTTTACATACAAGCTAGTCTGTAAAAGGAAACTCAGAATAACAGTGATTAAGTGTTTAGAGTAATGTTTCTTTTAAGCACCTCTGAATAGAAACTGAAAATAATGTCCAATTGTCACAACTAATTTTTACAACAATAGCTTTGTATTAATTAACCTTGTTTTTTTCCTGTTTTTTTTAACAATAACCTATTACAACAGATAAATGTTTATGTACAAGTTAATCTATGAAAAAATCCTAGGAAAATTTTTAGCTCTTTCTTACAGGAAATTATTTAATTACAAGCAAGTTTATGTTTGGAAACCCAAAGTGCAAGTGGCCCTAGCCCATTTCTGTTGCTAAATATTTATGTGCAACTAAATGTTTACCTACAAGCAACTCTGTTTTTAAAAAACTTGTTACAACAATATGTCATTCTCACACATGATGATTGACCTGCAAGTAATTCTATGTTTATAAATCTGGTTCAGTAGTATTCCATTCCCATTGGGAAGTGCTTTGGAGTCATTGTTAGAAACCCACAATAGAAATAAAATATTGTCACATTTAATAGGTTACCCACAAAGGACTTGTGTAAGAAAACTGTTGTTATCGATGAACAAATTTGTGCAAGAAATCCTGTAACAGTGGAATCTCATTATTACTTCCGAACAAATCTATGTAAAGAAACCTGGAACAGCAGGGTTCCATTATTACTTAGGTACAAATCTATGTAAAAAAAACCTATAACAGCAGGGTTCCATGATTACTTAGGTACAAATCTATGTAATGAAACCTGGAACAGTAGGGTTCCATTATTACTTAGGTTCAAATCTATGTAAAGAAATCTGGAACAGCAGGGTTCCATTATTACTTACATACAAACCTATGTAAAGAAACCTGGAACAGTATAATTCTATTATTACTTAGGTTCAAATCTATGTAATGAAACCTGGAACAGCAGGGTTCCATTATTACTTAGGTTCAAATCTATGTAATGAAACCTGGAACAGCAGGGTTCCATTATTACTTACGTACAAATCTATGTAAAGAAACTTGGAACAGCAGGGTTCCATTATTACTTACGTACAAATCTATGTAAAGAAACTTGGAACAGCAGGGTTCCATTATTACTTATGTACAAATCAATGTAAAGAAACCTGGAACAGCAGGGTTCCATTTTTACTTACATACAAATCTATGTAAAGAAACCTGGAACAGCAGGGTTCCATTATTACTTACGTACAAATCATTGTAAAGAAACCTGGAACAGTATAATTCTATTATTACTTACAGACTAATCGGTATAAAGAAACCTCGAACAAAGAGTTTCACTTTTACCTCCAAAGAAATCTGCTTCATGAAACTGGTGTGGTATTTTCAGGGAGACTAATTTCTCCATAGGGTGATCTGGCAAGCTCTGCAAAATAACAGGAGACTTCATCAGGGAATATATCGTGGAGCAAATCTGAATTATGTGACTGAGTTTATGGATAAAAGAGAATGGACACAATATGATACACAATGAAACTATATTTATTTATTAGAAAATAAATGTGAAGCCCAACCTGTCGTTTGATTTACCATTTGTCTTTGAGTTATAATGGTTTTAGGGAATCCTTCCTCTCTTCACTAACCCTGGACATGTGTGAATGTCTTTAACTCATCATAGTGAGTCTATATTTGTTTTGAATTTCAAGAATATGCAGCAGTGATGCTATAAATTTATTTTTACAAATTATTCAGCTGAAAATCTGTTCAACTATATTGTTACAGGCAGGTCCATTGGGCATAGAGAATGATTTACAGTTCAACAATACATACAATGACTGAACTTTCTTAGCACATCTTCATGAAATTGGTATGATTTTGTTAAATATTACAAGTATTTTGTACACAAAGAACAAGATTATATTAATTAAGTATTTTTACTAAAAATTCATTTATTTATTGTAGTTATTTGCACTCAGACTGAACAGTTAGTGCAAGGTGATTTTCATGTTAATTATATAGATATTTTTTCATCTTACAGTTTTCAGGTTTTATTTGCATAATCTCTAGAATCTCCTAAATAAATATTAAACATTTTTTTTTTCATTGTTTATTGTTAATGTTTTTTCTTTTCTTGCTCTTTAGGTCAGTGGGCATTTGCAGGCAATATTACTGTATCATCAGTAGAGTTACTTTAAGCCTTGTGAACTGAGGCAAAATTTGTGTTATATCAAAAAGTTATTAAACCTTTCAAATATTCATATTAAAACTTAAGTAACATGTAATTGATTAAAATATAAAAGTAAAACCTACATACAATTTAACTGTAACTAATATCTAACTAGGTGAGCAACAATGCTGTGTTCTAGTAAAAATGAAAATGACAACAGTGCTAAGAATTGTTTGACATACTTGGCAATAAATACTGTTTGCCAATTTTAAAATAACCATTGGCAGAATGTAGTTTAAAATGAACTCTTTCTGTTGTTTATAAACATGTACATCAAATAAGTATATGTGTCTTGTGAATCTCAAGTAGAACCTCAATTAATGGGCACCTTGAAACAAAGTGCACTGCACTATTAAGGGCAGACCTTTTCACCCTCTTTCTTATTTCTGCTATTTGTAACCAAAATAAATCTTTCAATAATAGGCATCTTGATCGATATTATGATTAAATGCAGTGTTTTTAGTCTTGTTTTTTATACAGGCACTCAGTATAGCAGGCGGTTATCTTTGTATACCTGTTTGGGTATAGTGTTGAATTCCACACATCCAACCAGAAGGATGACCAATATTCAAACATTTTTATTGGATAGGCTCCAAACTATATACTCTAATAAATGTTTTCACAAATTCAAAGTGCAACCTTATTACTCTGGGGAATTTTCATTGTAAACACTGTAGGATGCATAAGCTGATAAATTCCACATTGTGTTCTTGGAGCAGGGGTCAAGTTCGCTTATTTCTGTGTGCATGCTTTGTTGCTCCTGAGAGTATCATATTATGGTGTTGCGCAAACAGTCTAATGATGCAAGCAGTGATTTGTTGCATTTTCAGTGGATTTCTACTTTTGTTGTTGAGAGTAAAATAAATATGAAATGTTTAACAGTTCAAACTCTGAAGAGAAGTACTTTGAAACTTTGTGACTAATAATAAAGAAAAAAGGGCACAGCTAATCTACCCCTTGAGACCTCCTGTTGACAACACTCCATGTCATGGCAACAGCAACTCGCAAACACCCGTGTCCTTGTACACTAAACAAAATGGGGACCTTAAAATTCAGAAATTTAGTAGGTTAATCTGGAATCCAACTTTGGGTGGCTCATTTTTGATATTAAGGGAACCTTGCTATAAAGGGTATTTGGATGCAGTTGGAAGAATGGCCTTAATGTCAAGGTTCTACTATATAGAAGGTGGACATGGATTCTTTGCAATAAACAGTGCAATCAACCTAGTTTGTGTCGAAACATAGGAGTATTAGTACGTGTAGAATTATTCAAGCTACAGAGACCAAAAATTATATTTTGTGAACTCTCGTCTGTCACAACAACAAAACTGAAGTTTAAGAATTTTTTTTATAAGTTTATTTTGAAATAAAGGAACTAAAACTTAGATAATATAAAACTTTGAATTATGATGTACATTATTATGCTAATTTCGTTGACATACATTGATAGTAAAGTTGTTTAATTAAATTTTGAATGAAACCCCGTAAAACCTCTTGACATGCACAGAAAAGTATACAAAATACATCCTAGGGACCTACTTGTAACCAGAGGATTAAAGTACTGAAAAATAACATCTCAAGACACAATACATAATATACACTCTACCACTATATGAAGCATAGTCTGGATCTTTCAATTTGCCCATGTGCAGGGTTACTGATGAGGGGCGTAATTCCTTGAAACCTTTATTACTCAATTACAAGTGTTAAATTGATTATAGATTGGGCTTTACATTTATTTCTTAGTATTTTAAATAGCTTATCTACTGAATTATGTACAAGAATAAAATAGTAGCATCAGTGCTACATATTCTTGAAATTGTATACAAATATAGGATCACTATAGTGAGTAAAAGACATCTCAAAACATCATACAATCTTTATTTATACTTAAAAACAACCAAAGTATGTTTAATGGCCAAGAGAAAGTCCCTTTGCTGGAGAGAGAGGGTCCACTGAATATTTTAAAATGTAGCAATCTAGAATGTTGTGAATATGAAATTTGTTAGAGATTAAGGAAACATAGTGTTATATACATGAAACAACAATGTAGTTTCCTTGGAGCACATGTATTATCCATGATTGCTGGTCATTCCTATTTAGACATAACGGAGATTATACCTGTCCTTCCAGTGAAAAAAGTCATTGTCTACCTTCACACATAGTACTTACAACTGTGCAGGAACCTTTCCCATGGGAAGACAAAAGTGATACCTCAGGTGAATGACTCAGAACAACAGGTAGCAGTAGGGAAAAAAATTTAGCAACTTTCTTGGCTGGTGTTCCATGCTAAAACTGCATACATCTGAATAAATGAAAATTTTGAAAACAATTTCTGTATGAGAAAAATAGGGTAGCAAACACACGGTGTATTTACTTACCACACTATGAAACCAACTTTCTGTATAAAGTATTTTTTCAAAAGCAAGTCTGTGTCAGAAACAGAAGGGAGCACTGGCTTATCTCTGTACGTTTTTTTCACGCAAAAAACTATATGAGAGAATTTTATATATGACTTCTTCTTTTTTCTGATCTCATTTTCCAGCTGTATTTTTTTATATCATCCATGGTATGCTATACTGACTTTAAGATATGAAAAGTACTATAACTGTTGTGTTAACTGTGTGCATGAGTGATGTATGTATTGTGAAGGACACCTTGAATTATGAGGATATTCCCAACCTTAAAATTAAGGAAAACAAATAATAATAAAAAACTTGGTTTCACAATTATGTGTGTGTGTGTGTTTTTTTATTCCTAACCTCAGAAAGTTACAACTTCCCTATTTTTCATGTTTTTTGGAACTGTCATCAAACTGTTGTGACAAGTGTCCTGATTGAGGTCATATTTTTATATATTTAATGAGAATGAAGTGGAGTTTCCAGGAAAGAGGAAAAAATTCCTGACAAATGGTTAAAATGGAGGGCATTAAGAACTTAAATCTGAGTAATAATTCATTCCCATTTGTATACATGTTTGTGTTTTTAACATATATTTAATAATGATATCTGTCATTTGTGCTTCCAGTCCACAGCTGACCATGAGAGTAGAAGCCCCTCCAAGCTTCACTTCTATACCAGTGCTATGTTACCTCCTCCACCCCCAGCCCCAATGGCCAGACCAGTTGCCATCATTAGATGTACAGGTAAAACATCTCAAATAAAAGTTCCATTATGATGATTGTGTATAAATGAAAGTTCAGTGTTACTGCTTAGAGATTAAAGTTATTGAAAGAATCTAAATAGAATCAACTATAGTCAAACATGATAACACCATATACCTGTATCTTCCATGAAATACAACACACACACACACACAGGTATAAAGTGCTTAAGTAGGAAAGCTCTTTAGGCTAAAATGTTTTGATTACACCACCACTCCCAGTTTGCCCCTGAAGAAGAAAGGTCCACCTTTCGAAAGGGCTCGGGTTATAAGGTTTTTATACATTTTTATCAAGACTTCTTGAACTTGCTTGTTTTTCTAACGTCATGAGGGTGTATATGCATTTCTTGTAAGTCTTTGAAATTGAAAATGGAATTTCAAGGGCTTGAAAAGGAGCCTTTTTTTTGCAAAAGTACTTGAAAATATTATAATAGCAGAATATATTGATATATCTAACTTTAATGCATGTTGTGGAGATGAGCACAATAAATAATCTTTCCCTTCTCTTTTTAGTCTATGTTCATATGTTGAACAAATAAATAGGAATTTTATAAAAATTTCAATGGAATGTGATTGATTTTGATGTAGATTTTAGCTTCTAAAAAAGTGCTTGAAAAACATTGAGAGTGCTTGAAAGTTATCTGAGCAATTCCGTATGAACCATGACATACATACATACATAAAGCGTGTTCTTTTTCATTAAATCCTCATGTACAGATTTTTCATGAAGGTGTGATAAGTATTTTTACATTAGAAACAAAGTTCTACATTGCATAATAAGTTTATGAAGTTTTTATTATTATTATCATTAATATCAGATTTGAGTCCAACCACTCCAAGCCCACCTGCTACATCTACTGGTAGAAGTTGTGTTACACCAGATCCTGAAGCTCCAGGACCCAGTAATACAGAAGATAGAGACAATAGAGAACAGGTGTCACCACCACCAACAACATCAGTGGGTAAGTTTTTCCTGTTATACTTGTGCTCTAAACTATTTACAAGATCCAATCAAATAAACATGTTCAGACAGGAAGCAGACAGGAAGGAGGGTGTTACTGATATTCCTTGATTTTTTTTTATCCTTACATTGTGGAAGTACTTAACCAAATTCAATGAAGTAGTCAATAGCATTTAGTTTTTATTTAAAAATATTGTATACATTGATTTAGTATTTCTATAATTTTTTAGGTTGTGAAAGATCCAAAATTTTTTTTCTGAGACACACACTGATGAAACAAAAATACTTTCTTTTGTCTTGCAACTATAAGTCATTTAAAAAACAACAACAACTAGGACCTCACTTTTCAAGCAATGTAACCATTAGTTTTGTCAGTCTATGTTATGAAATATTTTTTGCTAACACTTTTGTTGACTGAGATCAATTTATACCTAATAGGTATTGTTTCTTTTCAATAAATAAGTTTTTTACATGTGTACATTGCTTAAATACAATAATATTCAATAGAAAGGGTTTGTACACACCTGAAGAAACTTAGTCCTTACACCCAACCTATCTTCTGAAGATTTATTCAAGTATACAACGGGAATGCGGAGACAAGTGTGTGTGTGTATGTATGTATAAAAAAATTAAAATGCACAATTTTTTATTACTGATGTGTAGGAAATTTGAAAGATTATAAAGCACATTTTAAGTTTACTCCATAATTCTTAATATTCTTCAGTTTTTAGTCTTCTACAAATTTCTAACAGTTTTGTTGAAGTAGTATATTGAATATGACATTTTGTTTTCTTCAACTGTAAACAGTGGGACTGTCCTCTAATTCCCAAGATTCATCTCCTGTGAACCGATCTGTGATGAGCAGCCCTTTTACTACATTAGCAAGACCAGAACACAGCTTTGCTCATATTCATCCTCAGCCTCAAGTATGTAAAATCCATTCACAAGGCTGTAATGTAAGCAAAGGATAACATATGAAGAATTCTTGACTCTTTCTTAGTTGTTTTATAGCATTCCTTCATTGTACAAAAGTGAAATGGAAGTGACATGATAAAAATCTTTGTGACTCAATCATCCATTATTGTTGAATAACAATGTAAAAAGGTTAATGATGATTTGTGTAGCAGAAGCATCTGACAATATAGTACCAATTTTATATATTTACTACATGTGCTGCATAGCTACAGTACAATCCAATGGCAAGTCACATATTTTTGCATTTTCAATTTGTAAAAAATCCTGGACATCCATAAGAATTCCCCTTCCCCCTCCAAGAAAAAAAAAGGAAAAAAAAATAAATCTCAAACAGCACTGCTGCTTGTTCAGTACTATGAGTACTGTTTTGTTTTTGTTTTCCTTATAGTTTGGAAAAACCTTCAACAACTGACACTAAATGTCTAAATTAGCATGAGCTAGCCCAGTGTTTTCCAAACTTTTGTCATCCACTCCCCTCTTTAATAAATATAGTTTCTTGCATGCCCCTCTTTTTTTAAACTAGTGAAAAGGTGAGTTAAGTGATGAGATGTAATACACAGATACACTTTAAAAGGCTATATGCATAGTAATTATTTTCCTTAATAAAGAATATATCAAAATGCTTAATTCTGCACTATTGCACAATTGACTCTACCCTAATCACTCATGCCCCCCCCCCAAGAGATCATTTTTGCTCCGGGGGGGGGACACCCCATACTTTGGGAAATGCTGGGTTAGTTTATTATAACTTATAATCATTAACATTGAAGTGCAGCAGTCATTTAAAAATGAGTCAAAAGTATCAGACAATTTAGGCATCAACATTGAAATGTAATGATAATTTGGACCAACAGCCAAGTGTATCAGACAATTCAGGCATCAACATTGAAATGTAATGATAATTTGGACCATCAGCCAAGTGTATCAGAGAATTCAGGCATCAACATTGAAATGTAGTGATAATTTGGACCATCAGCCAAGTGTATCAGAGAATTCAGGCATCAACATTGAAATGTAGTGATAATTTGGACCATCGGCCAAGTGTATCGAAGAATTCAGGCATCAACATTGAAATGTAGTGATAATTTGGACCATCAGCCAAATGTATCAGAGAATTCAGGCATCAACATTGAAATGTAGTGATAATTTGGACCATCGGCCAAGTGTACTGGACAATTCAGGCATCAGCATTGAAGTGTAGTGAGAATTTGGACCACCAGCCAAGTTTATTCGTGAACAAGATTTGACTTACTGTTATAAACTATGTACAAAACATTAATTTCACCTATAAGTAAAATGTTCTATGTTACACTATCATTATCTAAGAATGTGATTATATAAACCCTGTGTAATTTATATCTACCATAAACTAATTACATTTTCCATGTCAACAATAAATTGGTAAATTGAAACAGCTAAGTCAGGCCTCTCAACCCTAAAATTTACACAGTTTATTGCAGAATGAAAAAGGAAAAAATGTGGTGAAATTTTAACTTATTGATTTAATTACTTTTCAGCTGTTCTCTTATCCAAGCATCAGTCCAGTTAGTGGGGTCATCAGTCCCACAAATTTCATCATGTTTACATCTCCAGTGACCACACCCCGTAGCACTCCACGGACCACTCCAGTACCTCGATGGAATAATTCATTTATAGCATTAGACGATAATATGGATTACAACATGATCACAGGTTTGATGCCCGGAACAAATCCTGAGGCTGATCCTCCACACATTATTGGTGCTGAAGGTGGGTTAGTTGTGCTGTTAATGAAGCATTAATGGTTATATATATATATA